TTGAAGTCTTTTAGGCTTTTATTTTTTAACAAAAATCAATTTTTAAGCCGTGAGTGGACTAAAGAATACACCGAGCTCAAATTACGACTAAATAGTTACATTATAAAATTTTTTGCCCATTTTTCCCACCCTTAGGGGTGGAATTTTTTATCAAATTTATATAGGATTACCCCTGACAACAATAAAGTCATCTATTTAATAAAAATATTATTAAAATCGCTTCACAGCTGATCATCATCATCACAGTATCGCGTAATATACAAAAAAATAAACAAACAGTCGAATTGTGACCATCCTCGTTTTTTTAATTTCGCTTCAAATCTGTAACAATTAAAGCCAAGATATTTCGTTTAAGAAATATTTAAATGTTCACGCAACATGACATACGAGAGTAATATAATCAATGAATCTTTCTTAGACAAAAATTAAGGACGGTTAATACGATTTCGTGCCAAGTGCCAACCATCAATCGTTACCTACTATTTATAAGATGGGAAAATAACGACTGAAGGTTAATGGTAAGATACATTACTCCGTTTAATTGTATGTGGTTCACAGTTTCGATGAAATGTAAAAACTCGATAATGTCCTCCAGGCTGATTTTGATCACGGCAGCCTGTCTCAGTAGAGACTAGCCATCTGCACGAGGAGAGGACTGTATTACTTGTGTGTCTCTAACTCTCTCTCTCTCTCTCTCTGTAACTCTATTCCTTTACTCTCATAGTCCGATGGGACGGCAATGACGGCATCCGACACGGTCGGAGAGCGTTCAGACGCAGTACTAGCGCGGCCTGCCTTACGTGTAGGGTTGCTAACCGTACTATAATATACAGTGTCGTACTCACAGAAATCGTAATAATAGCTAAATAGAAATGAATTAGCGCTCGATTACTTCCAAAACCGACGTCGCATAGCACAACGAAATTTAATGTTTCACATTACATTGCTTGGGGAGTTTGTTAACGTCGCGTGTGTCGCGTATTACGGTAAAACAAAAGCAGCAATGGTAATTGTACAATACGAAAAGTAATAAATTAGTTTACAAAGGTAAATGTCATAGTAAAGTATTCATCTAGATGTAAATTAATTAAAACAATGATAATTATTAAATAATCAAGAACGATGAAATGTTATGTCTTTATTAGTTTAATTATACGTCCTTGATGAGTTTTTACAACTGATTATACTGCAGTGCACCATATTAAATTTATAATAACAAAAATTCCCGTACGACGTTCCCCGCACAACTAAATCACAAAATGATGAATTATGTTCGTCAACCCATATAAGCGGCGACAAGGTCACGCATCTATGCGACTTCTATTGTCTTATTATTACGATTTCTGTGGTCTTACTATATTTCAGTCAATTGTACTATATATTATAGAAAAATAGTATAGTACGAAAAACTATATTTTTTATCCCTAATTCAACTTTTTATATTAACTGTGAACTGTGTCTGTAACAAATAAGTTTTAGGGGAAACTTTTTTCACCATGAATGCATAATTGAAAGAGGAAAGAAAAAAGGCATGATGTATTAATTTAATTAAAAATTAATTGTTAATTTGTTTTAATATGAATCGAAATTGCTCAGACCTATAATTATTTTAAATGTAAGGTAGAGAAGGTAAGTAAATATCCTAATTTCTCATAATTACTATATTTTTCGTCATTTTTGTGAAAAATACTATATTTGTTCAAAGAAAAGGTGGCTACCTAGTTACGTGCTTCCTAGGCACTCGAGTACCAACGAGGCAGTAGAAAAATACATTGTCTGAAGTTTTAATTTTGGTTGCTATTTGGTTATTATTATTACTGGCAGATTTGTAAAGGGAATAGCATCTTGCACTATGATGTATTCTGTGACATTCTATTCCCATTGTTATCCAATGAATTCTGTGTCTTTTTGTTGCACCGCCAGTCTTGACGAACAATATAGTTTGGTAAAAGTTGCAGGATATCTGCCCCACACGCTCTGTATGATTTGTCGATCAAACTAATGCAATCATTGCCAACTGCGTACTAGTAAAACGAGGCTTTTTAACGAAGACGACTTGACGGTGATTTTATTTGTGCATAATCCTAAAAATTAACTAGCAAATTGCACACACACACACACACACACACACACTTGTGTATTATACTTAATAAATATTCATACAAAAGTTTTCGGAAACATTGTACATTTAAACAATGAATTTTTTTCTGGCAGTTACTAGAATGGGTTCTCTGGTTAAAAGGTAATTTTGCGTTACCTAGACCTCGTTTCTTAACCTTTCAACAATCCAACGTCAGCAAATATGTTGTTGTGTTAAAACTTCGTAGCGTGTAAAATGGAACAAGAAACTTATTGCATTTTGGGCTCATTGGCATAAAATTGCGTCATTAAATGAATAGTTGCTCTCGGAATAACTGCTAATGAGATATTTCGTGTCATTGTTAAGGCCGACTAAACCATTAATTGACGTTTAAAATAGAATAAAATTATTTTAAATTTCGTATTTTACTTAATAATATCTATTAAAAAAACCTCGTTGGTTTGTTTAATACTTAATTATTACGGTATTTATTTTTACGAGTAGAGAGGAATTTAATCTTTAGATAATTTATTATTGCACAAGTAAAAATATAATTGTATAATAATATGTTTATTTATGTTAATAACTAAGAAAAAAGATGCAAGTTACACAATTATGTAAAATTTAATGTAAAAAACCTGTTAAAAATTTCTTCATTAACATATGTGTCAAAAAATCTAAATATTTTTTTCTTCATTAGGCTATAACATACCAGGCACTGTCATAGCCTTGCCAAAGATGGATTTACCGTAAACGCCAGGAGGATTCTAGACCGCAGTGCCAGATGTCTCCCACCATTGATGTTGCTTACGGTCGCCACGCCAGTCTGAATATATTTGCAGCGTTGCTCTTTCATCTAGCATACAAGAAATTGTTACATATTCCTCTGTTGGAGGCAATATATCTTGTTGACACTGGCATATCCCACATCTCCCTCTTAAGACTTAGAAATTGGGTGATGATTTTGTTACGCTACTACCACGTGACATAAAGAAAATTTAGATTAGCGATTTCACTAACGAACGTCACTGACACAAATACGTGTCGAGATCTGTTCCACAAATGTTTTTGTAAAACAGATAACAATCAAAATAGATTAAAATTATATATATATATATATATATAAAAAAAAAAAAAAAAAAAACAATCTGGCACAAAATTGTTTTCCTAATTGACACATTATTTTTATATTTTACTATAGGAGAGATCAAATATACGCCTCACAATATTAATGACGTACGTTACAAATGTTGTATGAAATTAATATAAATATTTATTCTATTAAAATTTATTCTTATTTAAGCTTACTGCAGGTCATAGGCAAGCAAGGTGAAGTAGCTGAAATCGTTACATTTAGACGGCTTATCAATCAACCGGAAAAAGAAATTGATCAATACTAGGCATTGGAAAAACAATCCACACCGATTCCCTGTGACCAATCGGTCTAGATACTTGGAGACTGGCAATGTTCGACAAGTAATAAAACGGGGTGATTAGTTGACCTTTTAGCGTCGTCCCACACGTACCACAACCAAACAACATCGCAGTGACAAAATGTTATTACGTGTGAATAGTGTCGCTGCCGCTTTTTGCAGTTGCATTGTGGTTGTGCGACAAAATGTCGATATGGCTACATTGTCGCTGCTAGTAGTTCCGTTGTGTTTGCGTCGTGGTCGGTATCACTCACGCCGTCGATAATGACGGCAAAATGTGGTACATTTAAATTGTACTATACATTTCCAGTACAAAATGCGCCCGCTCCCGTGACGTGGTTGTCGTGTGGGTAGACCCCTACTTGATCAGATCCAGTGAAGAGCGGTCCGTATCGTCGACAATTGAGTTTTTTCAAATGGGCTCGATACCCTAGCGCTGCAAATAAAAACTGCAAAAAAAGTTGCATCCTTTAGCATTTTCTATCGCACTCAACACGTAGAGGGCACAGAAGAATTGTTTGGGTTATTATCCAGCCGCTAAATTCCACACTCGCACATCTGGATGCTAGGCGGTCAACCATTGTGTGATTTGTTTATAGTTTTGTTCCTTGTTGGAGTTCTGGAATCGGCTATCACCAGCGATAATTCCGGTCCGATATGACTCTTCAAGGAACGAGCTTACTTTTATAAAAGGCCGGCAATGTGTTGTGTTACAGTTGTTTATTTGCGGCGGATATTTATGTTACATAATTAGTTATTATATTAATAATCAGGTGAGCCGCATGCTCGTTTGCCTTCTCTTCTATAAAACTAGTAAGTGTGAAAAGCGATCGAGTAGTCAACTTGTTGGTAAATGGAAGTGACCCAGGGATATCTACATCTATCCTTTATAAAAGTGCATTGTCTGATCGATGAGCATCCAGGTGGAATGCCTCTTCGCGAGCTTAAAATTACTTGTAGAAAAACAGCATGAAAATTAGCTTAATAAGCCCAAAGCAGCGCAGCTTGGCTCTTAACGTTGATGAATCAGCCATAAGCTAGTATTTTACGTTGGAGCGTGGTCCTTCTCCTATCAAGTACCAACATAAGCTGCTTAGTTACTTTTTCATATTCATATTTCCGTTTTTTTTTTATAGGATAGGGTGATAAACGAGTACACAGTCCACCTGATGGTAAGTGGTTGCTGTGGCTCATAGACATCTACGTCTATCCTCGATTACGAATCAAAATGCAGATGCGTTGTCACCCGTGAGGACTAAGATGGAATGCCTCGTTTCCAGTAAAAAGGGTCTCCGGTTCTCTACACTCACCATACGAAACACAGCAGCATTAAGCTACTATTTGATGCTGGTATTCTGTAAGAGCGTAATTCTTCTCTGGTCGAGTCGACCTATTCCTGCTACAACTGTACTACTAATATAGTTGTAGTATGACTCTACACCACGTCCTATCTATTTTAAATTAGAGTTCATCATTGTCTTTTACAGACCAAGAGAAAGAGATGAAACAGAACGTGTGATACGTTGCACGCTAAAGGAGATCATGATGACCGTGGATTTGGATGAAGTAACCAGCAAAGTTATTCGAGGGAGGTTAGAGGACGAGCTCGATATGGATCTGGCCGAGTACAAGTCATTCATCGACCAAGAGATGCTAACGATACTGGGACAAATGGACGCACCAACGGAAATATTCGACCACGTGTATCTCGGCTCCGAGTGGAACGCTAGCAACCTTGAAGAATTGCAACGAAATGGGTAAGCCCCAATCAATCCTTTATGGCATGAATCAATATATTTTTATTTCATATATATATTTTTTTATTAACTGGCTTTACGGCTCTGGTTTCTAGACCTTCTGAGCCTATCCTTTCTTTTGGAATCTTTATTTTATATTCTTTTTCTTTACAATATGATGATGCGTCACATTGCGAAGCCCTTGGGAGATTTTGACGACAGCTCAACCCAGCGGACAGTTGATGACGACAGCCACTCAAGTTCATAAGGCGCCCAAGCGATCAAAATAACTTGAGGTTTATATCGACATCAAAGCACTTGTTTCGTCGTTTTCTCTAATAGTTCACATGCGCAGACACTTAATTCACAAAATCACATCACTTTTACAAATCAAAATCCACTTCAAACCATTATTCAAGCGACAAAACAGGAGCGACAATCCGTCTACGGCCAAGTTCCCGCCAAAACTCCTTTTCATATAGAATTGTGTTCACATCACAGAGCACGTAATAACCACGCAGGTCGGCTAGCCGGTGACGTGTGGCGCAGTTACTCTGTGCTCTGTGGCTCGCATTGTACGCATTTATTTTCTTTTATTTTTAACTTAATTTCAACTGAAATTAGTATTTGAGCACAAAATCGTTTAACTCTGTGCATTGTATACATGAAGGACTCAAACTCTATATAGTGAATTTGTTTTTATAGAAGTAAATGTGACCAACGATCACACAGTCCACCTGATGGTAAGTCAATGCTATGGTCCCTAGAAACCTACTTCTATTCTTGAATAAAAATCTAAATTCAGATATGTTGCCACCTCCGAGATTTCACCATACAAAATGCTACTATTTTACGTTAGTGTTCTGTGCGATCATATAGACCGTCCCGAGTGGAACCGACCCATGAGTGCTACAGCCATTACACGATTACAATTACAGAGCGGCTCTCTGTTTAACTTTTGGTTACTTTTTTTTAAGCTCACTTAAATTGTCATTTAGTGCTGGTATAATTTAACTCCCGTGTTTTCCTTTATTTTCAGGGTTAGTCATATTTTAAATGTAACAAGAGAGATAGATAATTTTTTCCCCGGTATGTTCGATTACCTAAACATAAGAGTGTACGACGACGAAAAGACTGATCTTTTGAAACACTGGGATAACACATTTAAATATATTAGTAAAGCGAGGAATGAGGGGTCAAAAGTGCTTGTGCATTGTAAAATGGGGATCAGCCGATCAGCTTCTGTTGTTATTGCTTATGCTATGAAAGCGTTCAATTGGAATTTTGATAAGGCTTTAAAGCATGTCAAAGCAAAAAGAAATTGTATTAAACCTAATACTAATTTTCTTAGTCAGCTTGAGACGTACCAAGGGATACTGCAAGCAATGAAGAATAAGGAGAAATTACAAAGGTCTAAATCAGAAACTAATTTAAAATCCCCTAAAACTGCCTCAAAGATAGAAAATAAGATTATGGATCCTACGCCTTTAGTTTTAGCTCTAACGGGATCATATTCAGGACGACCTAGGTCGTGGTCCCCAGACACTAAACTCGCTTCTGAACTTTTGCCACCGACTTCAGTCTCACTAGAGAATTTAGCGTCCGAAACACGCCATATGCTAATGCCTTGCGCCAACGGAAGCTATAGCGTATCACCAAATCAAATTATAAGATTAAAAGAAGAAAAGGAAGAAACGGCTCTATCAGTTAAGCATATTGTTAATGAAATAGAAAGTGCAGCCTCGATAGATCGAAGAGATATCAGCAGACGATATCAAAGATTAAATTTTGGTAACCCTAATGAGGCGCTCAGTAGCAGATCGCCGGAGGGATCGATCGGGTTGCCAGCTCAAATAGTCGATATAACTGGCAAGCAATCACAGGCGTCGCCATTGCGAAATTTAGGTGACAAGTGCTCTCATTCAGACGTCGAAGCCGATAAGATACATACGTGGGATCCTGGGGAAGCCCCATGGTCTAGAGGTGATGAAAGTAGGAACGGTAACGATAGTGATAATATAATGAAAAGTGACAGTGGTATAATAGACGTTAAGATGAAAACAAGTGACGCTTTCTCAAATTTTATAGACCGTAATATAGACTGCGACGACAGGAGGATTAACGAGGACGATGTGCCGCCCCCTAGCAGACAGAGTTCCTGGAGTTCCTTCGACAGCGCAGTAGTGCCCGATCTCTCGCGACACTCGTCGTGGGGCTCGTACGACACCAGATCGGCCCGGCCGCAGGTGGTGATCCGCGAGGATCCTGTCAAAAAGAGCAAAGACAGGGGTGACGAGCGAAGCGAAAAGAGTGTTGATTCGATCCCGCCGCCCAAATCGGGTTCTGACCTTGGTATCATCAGCGAGCACAGCGAGCCCAGAGGTGCGCGGCGTGGCGGGCCGCGGGAGCCGGACATTTCGGCCAACGAGAGGAAGTTCAACGAAACGTGTGCCATACTGAAGGAGCTGGCGCGCATGGAGCGCGCGCGCGACCGCGGCGCGTCCACGTGGGGCGGACGGCTGTCGGCGTCCGCGCCCGCCGACACGTGGCTGCGCGCCGCGCCGCGCCGTCGCCGCCTCGCCGCCGCCTCGCACCCCGACCTGCCGCGCGCCGCGCCCGCCGCGACCGCCGCGCAACCCCGCGCCCGCCGGCCTCGTCAGCAACCTCAAGAAGGAATTCGAGGCGAGGCTGGAGGGCGAACCGGCGCGGCGCGGCGAGACGCGCGGCCGCGCGGGCGCGTCGCCGCCGCTCGGCGAGGCCTCCTCCGTGAAGGTGCTGGTGGGGCGCTACGACCGGCCGGGCCGGCCGATCGAATCGCTGTCCAAGAAGTGCCGGCTGACGGAGGGCGGCGCGCGCGCTCTGCGCAACTCGTTCTGCGCGGGTGAGCGCCCCCCTCCCCCGCCGCCCCCCGCGCCCGTCGTGCTCTCCGTTGCGCCGGACTATTCCAAAGTAGTGGTATCAACTGTGATGTCGAAAGCTCAAAACAAAAAACAATTACAACATGGAAAGACCCATCCGTTGACGAGGCTCAACCTGACCCGGTCGAATAATAGATGTTCAAATCCTGTGTATAATACTATGTAGAAGTATTTACGTCTTTTTATTTATTATGAATTCTTGCCAAACTCGATATTTTATCTTTCTAGAGTTTTATATACTATTTACAAATGAAATCACAGTGTATTTGTCTATCACTTCAAAATGTATTAAACGGCTGTTAATGCTTAGATAAATGTTAAAAGAGAATAAATTCGATACAACTGATGTACAAGTTTTACGATTGAGTTTTCTTTTACACCTTAGTCAGTTTCATGACAGTTATGCGAATAGTTAAAATCCAATTTGCCTAACCAAAATCGACAACTTGCAGTTTCTTTCCGCTTACAAATGCCACACGAGGTATATTCTGTAAATCATTTCCTTTGTTGAATCTCTCCTCATCCTGTTTAGGTTTTCTTCGTACTGTTCCATAATCAAACACATATATGCCACCTGGATTGTTTCTTATGGAACACTTCGTCTGAAAAATAATTTTGTTCATTATTAGTTTACTTATAATTTCTGCTACAAATTGTTAACCAAAGAGTATATAACTTACTATGTATGATGTTAACTTGAATACAAAAACAGAAATTATTTAGAGGTTTTTTAAATCTGCTCGAATTGAAGAGTTCCCATACGTTTTATCTAATGTTTGTTAGTAGATATTATTACGAAAAATGTTTAAAAAGATAGGTGGTAACTACTTTGTATAAGGTTGTATATTTTTATATTTTAAGTCAGGTTGTATATTTTTATATTATGAGAGTAGTGTTGCCTGCAGACCGGAGGGGATTAGTCATAGCGTTTTTTCCCAATACAGAATTCTATGTCATTTTGCGGGGAAATATGCTCAAACAAAAACTATTGTCGGTCACTACGAAAATCACACATAAATAACAACTTCACACACACTTAGATACATTATTAACAGTGTCGCTCAGTGACAACGACAGCTCGGATACAGACTCGTATCAGTAACTCGACCGATCTTCATATTGTGTGAGCGGCCTGTGTTGGTAAACAAATCCAAAACAACACGACCAATACTATCCTAACTTTTAAGGTTAAAACGAAGTAAATAGCAATAATGTGATTGAAACTACTTATACGTGACGTGGGACATCATAACTGTTCAGAAAATAAAAAAGTACCCAGTAAAAGTCTCACGAAAATTTTAATTTTCATATGTTTTTACTCTTTTCCATTCTTTTCGGTTTCAAGATCATAAATGAAAAAATTTTCTCAACCTGTTTTTTTTTTGTAGCATTCTTAAACTGCTGTACTATTAAATACTGCCATTTTTGTGCCACATTTACAATTTTTTTGATAAATATTTTTTTAGAATAAAGGAACGTGTTTTACAAATTTATCCCAAAAGGTTCACTTCTTGTAGTGAAAAAAAATTGTATGGTTACTTGAGTGACCAAGTAATTAATAACTTGCCTACTTCATTGAATTTCAGAAATGGTATAGCACTTCTAGCTTTCAATGCAAAGAATATTGCAATTAAGTTGTGCAAGGGTCATTTTTTCAAATTATAAGTAAAATTAAAATTCTGTTCGAGAGTTGGAATTCCGCAAAAAAAATTAATTTTATTACAAAGGAATTTAATGAAACAAGAAAATGAAACAAATTAAAACATTTAAAGTACGTTTATTGGATTAAAATTTCTTTTTTTTTTATTTCTTTTTTTATTTATCAAAAGTATTCATTACATATTTGCTTGATTTGTACCATTGAACCAATAATGGTTTGTATTGGTACTCACATTCGCAACTAACGCACTGCTTTACATAAATATTTAATTAATTTGTTAAAAGTAAAAAAAATGTATATACATATAAATATACCTTCTTTTTTGTGTATGTGGTAAGTAACCATTTGCAATTCTCACATGGGAAAGTTCAACGAACCGGTCCTATTAGGCAGCGCAAACTACTTAACTATATACAGGCTGTTTCACTATTATACAAACTAAATTATAACTATGATTCTGATTGATTTTATAAAACGAAGTTCTTTGTATTATCGTAATAATGTTTTTTGAGTTTTTGTTTATAGTTTTTGATTTTAAATCGTTTTGAATATTTTGCAGGATGTTGTTTATGAGAGTTAGAATTAAAAATTCAATTGTTCGTCTACCATAGTAATTTGAGATCCTAGACTCAATTAATTTTTGTTGTAATATTTCTATTTTGTTTAATTATTATATTTTGTGTGTAATATTTCTTGTAATTACTTTATGGGATACGGGCACTTGGATGCTTTTGTTATTGTATTGTTCAATTAATAGGGTCATGTGAAGTTTCATCTGCATAGGTAAAATATTACAGCAATTGAAAATGTCAAATAAGTTTTCTTTGTATTGTTGTATTATTCAACTCAATATAGCTACCGTTAGCTTTTATGCACGCTCTGCATCTTCTAATAAAAAAGCGCATTATTTAGCGTGCATGACCAGATTCGTTAATAGTTTGGGTTGCTCTTTGAAGATGCTCTCGCAGCTTAGGACATGGGTTCTTTGTACACCATCTCCTTGAGGCACCCCCAATGTTTTCTTTGATGTTGCGTGTTGCTTGTGCCACGTTGCTGCCACGACGACGGTACATATATTTCATAATTGCTCGAATTTGTGACGTATCCATTATGACAACAAAACAAATGCTAATCAATAAAGAAATGACTAATTTTGAAAAAAAAATCCTGTTTTTAAAATAAAATCCATTTGAATTCTTAGCCAAACAAAAATTATTTTCATTTGAAATAGCCAGTACTGCAGAGCGGCAATTTCATAGGTAAAGACGTGTTATGAAAGATAACGCCATCTTTTTGTAAATATGACGACGAAGAAAAATAATTCGGCATGTGGAACGTCAATTCAGCCGCACAACTAGATTTAGACTAGGGAGTAGTGCGGCTGCGACTAGTCTATTGTACGCATAGGACCGCCTGGACTTATACTTTGATACAGGGGAACGCCTTCGTATGGCTTGTCCTGTAAAGTATATTATCTATGGTATGGCTACTCCTCTCCGGTCCGCCGGTCGCCATGTTGCTCTTTGGAAGTTAAAGTCAATGTATTCAACAAATGTAATGTGTAAACACAAAACCAAAAATTATTCTATTAAAAATAGTGATGTACATTCTCTAGTATTTAACATGGAACAAGCACCACTTGACTTCCCAAGTGTTTGTAATCCCTTCATGGGGCAAATCCGCTCCTGTACACGCTTTCAAAACAGAATAAATTAAGACAGCTCTGTGTGTAATTTTTTTTATTAAATTAAAATTGTGTAAGGGGTTATTATAATATTAAAGAATACATAATTGATAACGCCTGCGACTGAGTTGCTGCTCATAGTTGCTGTTTCTTAAAAGTTAAGTATATGTATTACAATTCAGTTGCATTTTATATATTCTGCATATCTCTGGATGTATCCGTGTCCGCGAATATGCAAGAGGTTAAAGAGATCTGTACTCGTATCCGTTACTTTTTAGCGGATCGTAACGGATCTTATGGTATTATTCATTTAGTTGAGGCTCATATTGGGAATAACCTGCAGGCATATTCCCGAAATGGATTTCGGATTCGATTCCATCTGACGTCGTTTCGAACCTGATTTTAAAAACTTACTCTAGAACCAATATTAACAAAACATGATCGAGTAAGATTAAGCGTTACCAGCGCCGTTAGGTACATCTGGTTTTTTATCCTGCGTTAATCTTTATTTATCAAAATCAATTTCTGTCCGTTAGTCTTACCGAAACTCAAAAACTGCTCGACCGAATTTGATGATTTTTTTGTGTGTTTTTGAACAGGTACCTATATAATTTAGGGTTACATTTGGATCCGGTAGGTAGCGCTGTTGTCGAGATCCAGAAATCACCCATGCGAGGCCGAGGTGGATCGCTAGTTTTTAATAGATTTAAATATTTTCATTTAAATATTTTTATGACATAAATAGAACAAACTTATTAAGAGAAAGCATTCTCGTTGCATGCAATTACGGTCGCTATCTAGTGCGAGCTGAAACACTTCCATTCTGATAATTCCAATTAAAAGTCTATCAGTAAGTCTGTAAGCACAGTGGTTCTGACGCACACCATTCTATTGAGCACTGGCAAAGTTTTCAAGAATAGGAATAAATTTCGATTAACTAAGAACTCTATTCTGTCGGAAGTGGGCACACCGGACAATATAAAAGTTGTATTTTATATGGGTGCGCGAAAAGTGACCAAAGGTATGGCGGGGCGAACGTTCAAGTGGATCAAAAGGAACCAAAACAAAACGGTGGACGTGGCACGTGGCGGACTTTGGACAATATAATTGATTTTAATTAATTTGAGGCGTTGGCTGACATGACGGGAGATGAGCTGCTGCGGATAAAGGAACAACAAATAAAACAGCTCATAAAAAGGAAGGGCACTTACCTGAAGGAAGCGGCGAGCGGCCTCTCTCTTGACGGTTATGCGTGCACGATGAAAATTGCATTGCGCTGACGATGGCGGCGCGCATCTTATAACTTCCGCCATCTCTCCTTTCTACTTGACGGAGCGCGCCTCTCATTGGAGGACCAAAGATGCGTCAAACAGTATCTAGCTCCTCCTACTATGCACGCCGTGCGGGGAAGGGACGGAAGAGAGGACGATTATGTCAGCCAACTCAACTAACAAATACAATGTGTATTGGCGCAACCAAACCCCACGGCTTGAAGGGTTCCCTGCAAAACGAACTAAAGCTACTATAGTTCATAAAAGATAGCTTGATCTCTGCGACAGCTGTCAGTAAAAATCACGCCTATGAAGTCCTGAATTTCTTAGTAGTACAGACAGTACCTGTCAA